GGAGGAGGCTTGCAGAGCGCTGGGGGACAGAGGGGCCTCGGGGGCCGCCCGAGGGATCCCCGGTTCCCGCGCCTTTCCCTCCCTTCCCCGGACGTCCCCTGGAGAAGCCACCCCTAGCGCTCACCGCGCAGCCAGGCCCTGGGCGGGATAGGGGCTGGGGGACACGGGATAGGGGACACGCCAATCGCAGCCCGCGATAAACAGTCCAGAGCCTCGGAACCGGCCAGGGGAGGGAGGGTGGCCCTCAAATGGCCCAGGTCGAGGCCGGGAAGCCCAGGTGGCGCTGGGGTGTGCGGTCAGCGCCTCCCGCGCACTGGGCGCAATCAAAGCGCGCACCGAGAGGACTGGCGGGATGCTGGCGGTCTGCGGTCTAGAACACTCGGTCTGGACCAAAGGCCTGGGGGTAGGGGCGGTGTCCACAGGGACGGGTGGGAGAGGACCGCTATGGCCGGCCCAGCCTCTGACTCAGAGCGGTGGCGGTAAAGGCAGGGGGATGCGGGCTAGAGATCGTGATTTCTCAGGGACTGCCACCCCGCAGTCCTTGTCAAGAGGTGAAAAGGGGCTGGGAACCTTGAAGGTGGGTTCTGCTAGAAGGTTGCTGGATTTCCGGAGAGCTAGGTCCTCGGGTGGAGTCGGCATCAGCTACCGGATGACACCACAGCAGAGGGGCATCAGGAGGGGCAGCCAGACAGAAAGCAGAGCGGGGGCTCTGGGTCTGGGGGGGGCTCTGGTTCTCAAGGGCAGGCCCATCCTCTGGCACATGGAGCAGGGTGGCTGGGTAACCAGGGTCCAGCAAAGATGGGTGTGTCTGGGACCAGCAGTTTGCATAATGGCTATGACGCTGGACTCCCATGTAGTCGACCGTGGTTCGCGTCCCGGACCCGGTGGCTTAAAACTCACGCCAGGTGCGTGTGCATGCGTGCCCAAGATCCCGAGAGGAGAATGGAGGAGAAGGGATTGGGGTGTGGCCATCCCCCCCCGGGGGGGGGGCGGTTTCTTGCTTTCTGTCTCTCTGTCTCTCTGTCTGTCTGGCGAGCACACGTGCCCTATAGCAAAAACCTCTCCAAAAAAAGAAAAAAAGATGGGTGTGTCTTTTGAGGATTTGAGAGCTGGTGGAAGGGCAGGCCAGGGCTGGCCGCAGAGGGAGATGGAGAGCAGGCAGGATCTCTGGGCGTTGGCTGGGACTGAAGGAAGGGGCTAGGAACAAGAGCCACCCAAAGGCCATGGGCATCCCCAGGCTGGCAGGGTGGGGCTGGTCGGATGAGGCCCCTGGTTCATTAGTGCTGGTGCAGGAGGGAGGTGGGCTGGGTTGGAAGCGAAAGTCTAACCAGTGCGGTCACAAATGCAAACACTTCTTGGGGACGAGTAAACAGGCCAACCACTTCTGGGCAGCTCAGCCCGGGCACAGCCCTGACCTCAGCAGTGCCCTCCCAGAGCCGGAGGCCTCGCTCACAAGGCTCCCGAGGGCTCCCGCCGGCAGAGGCCAGCAGAGGTCCTGGGGCTGCGGTGTCTGTCCCCACCGGCTCTTGGCTTTACGGACACCAACCTCTGAACTGGTGGGGACACTCACTTCAGCGGGACCAAGTGTGGGAACAGACACCTCCAACCCCACCAGCGTTGTTTCCCCTTCCCCCAGACCAGCTCACACCCCAAGGCCCCCACACTCCACACCCACCACCAGGACCTCCTCGATGTCCCAAATCCCTACCCACCTGTCTGTGCCACCCAGAAGAATCTTTGAGAGATTTTTGCTATAGAGCGCATGTGTTCATCAAAGAGACAGAGACAGTGGGGCCAGCAGGTGGCTTAGTGACCCACTGTGGTTCGAGTCCTGGACCTTGCGACTTGCTTTCTCACTTTCCCTTTCTCACTCTGTCCCTCTCTGGTCAAATTGAAATAAATAAATGAATGAATAAATAAAGTTAAATAAAATAATTAAAAGAAAAAGAAACAGAAAATGAGTAATCAACCCCAGGGGAGATGGCCACACCGCAATCCCTTCTCCTGTACTCTCCTCTCAGGATTTTGGGCATGCACGCACATGCACCCGGCACACCTCCAGGTCCAGGACTTGAACCGCAGTTGATCATGTGGGAGTCCAGCGCCTTAGCCACTATGCCTTAACCACCTACTGGCCCCCAGAAGGGTCTTTCTACTCTCACATCTGGCTGCTCCCCCCTACCCTAGGACAAGGACCATCCCCACCCCACAGCCCCGTGTGTGTCCCATTGCAGACACCTTACAGTGGGTGGTGACTCCAGGCATCGTGGGCAAGAACCTCACCTGTCCCAGTCACCACCACACCCCTACTGGGAGACTAGGAGGTTCTGGTGGAGTGAATCTCCGCCCACAAGCTGGGCCTGGCATCAGGCGAAGACCAGGCTGAAGAAACTGGACTCAGAGGCATCCGTAGACAAAAGACCTCCACACAGGCAAACCCAAGGAGCCTGGAGCCCTGGAGGGCTTCCCAGAAGTGGGCTTTGACATTTTGTATAGGGGCTGGCAGGTGGTATGGTGGCTAAGGAGCTGGACTCCCACATGGCCGACGGCGGTTCGTGCTCCGAACCTGGCAGCTTGCTTTCTCGCTTTTCCCGTTCTTTTCCTTTCTGACCAAATGAAAATCATAATAACACATGGGATTAAATAAGTCTTTAAAAAGAAAGAAATGTCAGATAAAGCATGGCCTTAGGGCCTGGCCACACTGGAGCCCAGGTGGGCTGCCAGGGTAGGGGGTGGCAGGACCAGGCTGCCGCTGCACCGCCCCCTGCCCTCCATCCCACCCCAGGCCATGCAGGCCTCGGGGGGCCCTCCCTGCCCTCCTGCAGGCCAGAGGCCTCTTGTAGGTGGGGCCTTTCTGAAGCTTTTTTCCCAGAAACCTTTGGGGCCTGCAGGAACTGCTGCCATGGTGGCTGAGGCACAGCAAGCGCTGGCCTGAGACTTGAGTGGGGTCCTCCTCGGAGGCCGGGTTCTCACAGGTCACCCTCGGGAGCAGAGATGACAAGGACGGTGTGGCGTCCCATCATCCCATCTGGAGTCCCATCAGAAGTGACCCCCCAGGGGTCAGCACTGAGTGTACCACCCAAGGTGACTGTGCGTGATGTTACACTCCTCAGGGGCACCCAGGCTCCAAGACAGTGAGGAAGGTGGCACACATTGCCCTGAGGGGTAGGTGACACCTTGGAGAGTGTCCCCTCCACTCGAGCATCCTTGGGTTATCCAAGACAGGGCCAAGTGGTTGCGCACCTGCCCCTCCCACCACAGAGCATCCACTGCTCCTCAGCCAGTGAGCTAAAGACCAGGAGATGCCAGTAGGTGGCATGGTGGTTAAGGCACTGGACTCCCACCCAATTGAGCGCAGTTCAAGTCCCAGACCTGGCGGCTTGCTTTCTCACTTTCCCCCATTCGCTCTCTTGTCAAATTTTTAAAAATATGATGCTGCTGCTGATGAATAAAATTCAACAATTAAAAAATACATAAAGACCAGGAGAATGGGCCTGAGTCACAGCCCTGCTGCAGGGAGGCCCCTGCAGTGCCCAGCCTGCAGCAGGGCGTGGAGGCGCTGAGGGAGAAGCAAGCTGTGGTCTGGCAGCGAGGCAGGTGCTGAGCTCCGGCCCATCCACGCTAGGGCTCAGGCTACTGGCAGAGGTGGGCAGGGGAGGACCCCAGCTGCTGGGCCAGGTCCTAAGGGTCACCTGGCAAACCCACAGGAGCTGCGACCCCTCCCCACAGCAGCTCCGGATGGGCCAGCAGCCCGCCACGCGCCCACCCCTGGGTGCTTCTCCAGGTGCTGAGGCTCTGACCCTCAGGCTGCGGCTTCACTCAGGCAGAGACATCTAACGGGCTGGACTGGAACGCGGGGGGCCGCCTGGCTGGGGGAGTTCCCGGGGAAGGCCGCAGGCGAGCCGGGCACCAGCTGGCCCTGGGCTGGCGGGTTCCCGGTTCCCGAATGGCTTCCCTTGTGGCTCAGGACGTCATGTGCTCCCTTCTCGAGGCAGAGCCGTGGCCTCCATTTGGCTCCTGGCCTTGCTCCCATAGCAGGACCGTCCCCACGGCGGCGCCGCCCCGACACCTGTGCTCCCCGTGCTGTGGGGGGGAGTGAGGCTGCGGCGCAGGACAGCAAACGCCTTTTATAAGATGCTTTATTTCATTTATCAACAACATGGGGTCAGAAAAGCCCAGCGGGAGGGGATCTGTTTATCACTAAAACCAGTCCTGGGCAGGTCTGTCTGCCCTGCCCGCTCCCTCTCCACCCCTTGGGAGCGCTCTCAGCTGCTCAAGCCCCGGGCTGCAGGGCAGGGTGGCAGGCTTGGCAGGCTCGGGGCTGCTCTCCCGGCCCCTCCTGTTCCCAGGAGGGCTGCGATGTGCCCTGGGCCCCGTCTCCCGGTGGCCAGTTCCTAGGTCCCTTTGGAGAAGAGACCTTCTCAGCCCAGCAGGGACCGGATCTGGGGGAGCAATGGGAAGGCCAAGACAGCTGGTGACACAAGCACTCCGGGGCTCACCCAGAGGACACGGCTGGTCAGCTCCTTAAGGGACCAGGGCCTTTCAGACAGTGGCCACCGCCACGTGATCCGCAGCCTGGAATCCGCATGCGCCCTCAATCACCAGCGGCAGGCTGGCAAGGACCGTCCGGGCAGGGAAGGGCCCCGCACCCCGGAGTAAAGTGCTCTGGCTAAACCACCTTGGGCCTCGCTACCCCGCAGCCCTGGCCGCCCTCCCTCGATGCCAGGCGCCAGGAGCCCTAGTCCTCGCTGGAGTTGTCAAACTCCTCCCAGTCCGACACGCTCATCACCTCAGAGGCAAAGTCCGGGTCGGCTTGGCTGCGGTCGGGGGTCCCGCGGGACTGCTCGAGGAGCAGGGAGCGGGGCAGCGTGAGCACGCAGGCCGCCAGGCCCGAGATGGAGTTGTCCAGCTGGGGCCCCTCCTCCCAGCAGTCCTTCTCCACGTCGTAGATGTGCACGTAGCCCGTGCGGCTGCCGCGGTTGTGGGAGCGGCCCCCCAGCACGTAGATCCTGCTGTCCAGCACGGCGATGCCAGGCTCGCCGTGCCCGGCCGGGAGCGGGCAGACCGAGGACCACTGCCCAGAGGTGCAGCTGTAGCAGGCCACCTGCAAAGCGAAGGCCAGAGTGAGAGCTCAGTCCCTTCCAGGAAGGAGAAGCTGTCCACCCTGGGCCGGCTGACCTGGACAGCGTGGTCACCTGGCACTCCGGCTCCCCTGGGAGGGGAGTGCAGGGCCAGGTCTGCGGCGGGCTCGCCTGCAGGGCCCTGCCCGAGCAGCAGCGGTCCCTCTGGTCTTACTCAGACACCCCTCCTGCGGGTCACCCGGGCTCGGCCACTCGGCTGTCATCTTCCACTGCTGCTTCTCTCTCCTCCACAAGACTGTGTGGACCGAGGATGTAGAACCCACGTGAGACCTTTACCGCCCCCACAGCACCCAACAGTAGGGGGAGGGACGAGTGAGATACGGAAGTCCAGATTTTTGCTATAGGGCACGTGCACTCGCCAGACAGATAGACAGAGACATAGAGACAGAAAGTGAGAAATCACCCCCCAGGGGGGATGGCCACGCCACAATCCCTTCTCCTCCATTCTCCTCTCGAGATCTTGGGCTTGCACGCACACATGCTTGGTGCGAGTTTAAGCCACCAGGTCCAGGACTCAAACCACGGTCGACTACATGGGAGTCCAGCGACATAGCCATTACGCTAACCACTGCTCCCACCCCACTTTTTTTTTTTTGAGAGATTTTTGTCATAGGGAACACGTGCTCACCAGAGAGACAGAGAAAGACAAAAAGCAAGAAAACACCCTCAAAGGGGATGGCCACGTTGCACTCCCTTTTCCTCCACTCTCCTTTTGGGATTTTGGGCACACACGCACATGCACCTGGTGTAAGTTTCAAGCTGCCAGGTCTGGGACTCAAACCGCGGCAGTTGACCATGTTTGAGTCCAGCGATGTAACCATTATGCCATCTGCTGGTCTCCAATCAACATTGTTTTTTAATACTTCTAATTTGTGGTTGACCGAATTCAAGAACGTGGACTCCCAAGGATACGGAAGACTGATTGTAGCTGCTCGCTGATTAATCGTGACCGTTGACATTCTCATTTTCAAAGTTATCCAAAACAGTAAATGAAGATATGGAAAAGTGTTCAACCTACTCGTGATACAAGAAATGCAAAACCCAAGTGTTAGGGAGAAAATTCCAACTGTTAACCAGCAACGCGAGTGGAAGAAAACAGCCCAGCGTCGGTGGGTACCACTGTCTGACGCGTCGGGAAAGGAATTTGGCAGCGTGTACAGACAGTCATTCGCATCACGTCTTCGGCTGATTAATCACTTCTGCTTTCCAGCTGTGGTAGGCAGAACACGGCGTCTTGGCCCTGACCTCCAGCACCTGGGAAGACGTTCTCTTACGTGGCCAAAGAGCCAAGGTAGTGGGTTTCAGGGACAGACCTTGCGATGGGCCCATCTGTCGCACAGGCCCTGAGAAGCAGACAGGAGAGCCAGGCAGCAGAGTGATGAGGCCTCCACCTGCCGTGGCTGGCTCTGAAGACCAAGTGGTCTCAAGCAAAAGATGGTAGCCCCAGAGGCTGAGAAGGGCTGTCAGCTCAGCCACAGGGGGAAAGGGGACTCCGTCCTACACCCTGGGGACTGGAAGTTGCCAACGCCATGAGTGAGCAGGAAGGCAGACCCTCCCCAAGGCCTCAACAAAGGCAGGTCCCGATGACACCCTGAGTGTGGCCTGCCAGAACCCTGCCTGACTGAGGGCCTACAGGGCCTTAAGGTGAGCCCTGTTATGCAGGTCACCGAATGAAGGGGCTTCTTACGGCAGCAAGAGGAAACTAACATGCTGGCCCAGGGGCCCTCACCACGGAGGGGCCTTTAAGACAGATGGCTATGGGCCAGCAGATGGCATAATGGTTACGTCACTGGACTCCCACATAGTTAACCACAGTTCGAGTCCCGGATCCAGTGGCTTGAAACTCACACTGGGCACATGTGCATGTGTGCCCAAAATGGAGGAGAAGGGATTGTGGTGTGGCCATCCTCCCTGGGGGTTGTTTCTCACTTTCTGTCTTTCTGTGTCTCTGGTGAGCACATGCACCCTATAGCAAAAAATCTCAGTTAACTAACTAACTAACTAAATACATAAATAAAACAAATGGCTGGGGGGCCAGGAGGTGACATAGTGGTTAAGGCGCTTAAACTCACGCCGGGCACATGTGCGTGCATGCCCAAGAGAATGGAGGAGAAGGGATTGTGGCGTGGCCATCCCCCCTGGGGGGTGATTTCTTGCCTTCTGTCTTTGTTTCTCTGTCTTTCTGGTGAGCTCACGTGCCCTATAGCAAAACCTCTCCAAAAAAAAAAAAAAAAAAAACCATAAAACTTAGACCAACCTGAGGACAGCAGATGGTGTAAGGGTTATGCTGCTGGTTAAGGGTGCTGAACTCCTACATGGCCAACTGCGGTTCGAGTCCTGGACCTGGCAGCTTGCCTTCTTACCTTCTCTCTCTCACACTCTCTTACTCTGTCCCTCTCTGGTCGGTAGGTAGGTAAAAAGAAGAGAAAGAAAGAAGAGAAAGAAAGAAAGAAAGAAAGAAAGAAAGAAAGAAAGAAAGAAAGAAAGAAAGAAAAAAGAAAGAAAGAAAGAAAGAAAGAAAGAAAGAAAGAAAGAAAGAAAGAAAGAAAGAAGAGAAAGAAAGAAAGAAAGAAAGAAAGAAAGAAAGAAAGAAAGAAAGAAAGTTAAATAAAAAATAATTCATTAAAAAAAAAAAAAAGATTCATGCTGGTGTGTGCCCAAGATTCCGACAGAATGGAGAAGGGATTGTGGTGAGGTCATCTCCCCTGGGGGGTGATTTCTCACTTTCTGTCTCTGTCTCTCTCTGTCTCTCCAGTGAATGCATGTGTCCTATAGCAAAAATCTCTCTTGAAAAAATAAATAAATAAATAAATTCAGACCAACCCACGTGCCACATAAACTGCAGCATCACTGAGCAGGGGTGTGGGGGCAGCAGCTATGAAGACCGCGTGTTCACAGCAAAACGCCCGGGACGCGGGTCGGCGAGAGCAGCAGGACGGGCCGCTCTCCGAGCAGCCGCGAGGAGCCGGGCACAGGTAGGGGGCTCGGCCACCTCTATTCCCAGAGGTTCCGCGATGGGGCTTATCCTAAATTTACAGTGTAAGTTTCCTTGGGTTTTGTCTTTTAAGACAGGGTCTGGTGGGGACTGGCAGGTGGAGGTTACAGTGCTGGACTCCCACATGGCTGACTGTGGTTCGAGTCCTGGACCTGGCAGCTTGCTTTCTCACTTTCCCTCTCTGCTTCTCTCTGGTGAGTGCACATGCCCTATAACAAATTTTTAATATAATAGTAAAAGGGGCCGGCAGGTGGTGTGGTGGTTATGGATGCTGGACTCCCACATGGTTAACTGTGGTTCAAATCCCGG